CGGGAACACGCGGGTGATAGCCGAGGTCGCAATAGTAAGGCGACATCCCCGTGGCTGGCGAGACGGCGTGGTTGTAGGCTATCTCCGCGTGGGCAAGATGGAGATCCCACTGCTGGTCGTCACGAACAATCTTTCGGAAAATATCCCCGAGAGTCCTGTTCGTGATCTTGGTCTGACCATCAGTCTGAGGATGGTCAGACGAGGAGCAGCAGAGCTGAGTGCCGTACACCTTGTGGAGCGGTCGCCAGAATCGGCTGGTAAAGCGCGGGTCACGGTCAAATATGATGCTCAGAGGTAAGCCGTGGTCACGCACGACTCCGTCAAATACGATGTCGGCGACCTCATGTGCACTGATGGCGTAGCGGCACGGAACAAAGCGTGCACGCTTCGTGAAGCGGTCGACGACGACCAGGATAGCATCATGACCGCGGGGGATCGGAGGTCGAAGAGGACCGATAAAGTTCATCGAGATGGACTGCCAACGACCCGCAGGGATTGGAAGAGGCTGGAGCAAACTATAAGGTAGGTGGTTCGCACTGTTCACCTCCTGACAGGTGGGACACTCTGCGACGTAGTCCTTCACAAAGTCCTTGCGCTTCGGCTAGACGTACAGGCGGCTCACATGAGCCAACGTCTTGTGGAAGCCCATATGACCGGCAGCTGCCTGGTCATGGAACTCTGCTACTGCTCGGACACGTAGTTGTCCAGTGGAGGGAACACAAATACGGGGCTCTCTGGTGCCCTGTGAACCGTGCCAGTACACAAGACCGTTGTCCCCGAGAGAGTAGTTCGGGACGGTCTTGCCACTCCTGAGTCTTGCCACTCCGAAGGGTCGCGTGGATGTCGCGATAGTCGGGGCAGTTGTACTGAGTGCGAAACTCGTCGATCACCGAGTGGTGGAGGGTGCTGATCGAAATGTGCAAAGGAGCGGTGGCGACAAGACGCCGGGGAATGCTCAGTCGGCTTGACAGTGAGGAAGAAGGGGAGGTCGGTGACCGTCTGATCGAAGAAGCGCAGGGTCTTGTCATCCCCTAGGGTAACGGAGATGGGAGTCGGAGACCCTGTCGTGGGTAAGCGGGCTTCCTTCACCACGCGTGGGTGAATGAAGTCGCTTTGAGAACCGGAATCCCACAGCGCTGAGTACACCCTCGTGGAGGTCCCGAGTCGTACGGGGATGATCGGGAGGGTGCGATCAGGATCTGAGAGGATGGCGAGAAGGCGACGCAGTGCAGCGACATGGAGGGTGAGTCGCTCCTGACGAGCCTGGAGCATGCTCAAGTCCAGAAGAGAGGACACAAAGTCCTCGCGAGTAGCAAGCTGCTCGTTGCAACGGGCTGAGCGAATGGCTCGACGCATCGGAAGTCGCGGCGGGGAAGGAGGGGAGAGGGTGGTCTGCGGGGGCACAGACGGTACTGTGACAGAGGGCGGAGTACACTCTGTCGAGTCCTGCGATACCTCAACTCCAGTAGCGTGAGGGGCGAACCACGACGGAGATGTCGGGAAGCCCACTACTGAGGAGGGCGCAGGTGTACACTGCATCGTGGCTAGGAGGCGCCGCGGGGACGTGAGGTGCCGGGGGGGGACTGAGCACGACGCTGACGAGAAAGGTCAGCGTAGTGGCGGTCGAGGGCGGTAGTGTAAGGGCACCGTGAGGAGGTATGACCGTCCAAGCGGCAGCGCAAACACCCACGACGGCCCAGAATATCCGCGCGCTCCTCAGGGGAAAGGACAGCACGAGGAGGGACGAAGCCTTGAGGGAGGTTCTCCTGAGGGACCTCGGGGGGCGATGCGCCAGCGTGACCGAGGCGGCTGCGTGCCCGAGAGAGGGCAGAGAGCGCGAGCTGAAGGCGCTCAGCTGCAGAGAGGGTAGAGTCCTCCAAGTGATAGTGGACGGCCTCGCARAGATCGAGGTCGTCGCTGTGGTCGCCCTCAGATGACAGTGGGGCAACAGCGTCCTGCTCACCATACTTGAGCGCGCTGAAGCGGCGCGAGAAGTGGCGGCCCTGCTGCGTGGAATGGCGGGGGGGACCGCGGGAAGGGGAACGGTGTGGGAAGTGCCGTGAGAGGAGGAGGCGTAGCCCGTGCGCTGGGGCTGGGAGGAGGAGGCGGGGTGAAGACGGGCTCGCATCCGCTGGTGGTCCCTGGCGGCCTTGTAAGCCTGTGGGGCCGATGTGAACTCGTACCGCCATAGCTCGGAGCGGTACTCGAGCGGAAGGCTGGCCAAGAAACGATCGATAAGGGCAGCCTCGGGGAGGAACGCCACGTCGCAAACGAGGCGGGCGTCCTGAAAGACCTGGATGTGGCGATCCAGGCCGGCAGCGCCACCAGAGCCGGACCAGCATGTAGTAACGACACGCTCGAAGGCGTCAGTCACGTCGTATCGGACTCCGAAGCGATCCTCGAGGAACGCCTGGAAATCCACGAAGGTCGGAGTCCGACCCTCACGAAGGGAGTAGGCATAGAAATCCTCCGAGGCCTCGAAAGGACCGCCACGCAGGCGCGTGGAGAGGTGACCCACCCACTTCTCGGTTGTGGCGCCTATGAGCTGGAGTGTGCGGGTGGCAGACTGCAGCCATCGAGACATGCGTATGCCTGTACCGTCATACAAGGCAATGTCCGACAAGCGGATGAGTGGTGCGCCACCGTTTTGGCGGCGAGGGGATCGAGGAGCGGAGGCCTGTGCCACGGCTGAGTAAGTCGGCACAGGTCCTGGAGAAAGGGGCGCAGCTGACTGTGCGCCCGGGCCGCATGGGGGAGCGGCGGTGGCAACAGCGGCAGGCTGCGAGGGTGCTGCGGTAGAAGAGGTCGCAGCAACCGCGGGAGAAGGAAGAAGGTAGGAAGGAGTTGTATAGGGTGCAGGGCGCGGAAAGCGAGCCTGCATGGGAGGAAGGGTAGAGGAGGTAGGGGGTGCGCCCGAAGGCGCGGCCACTGTGAGGGTGGGGGTGGCTGAAGGCGTAAGAGGGCGAGGTTGGCCCGGAGCTGGGCAATCTCGTCCGCGAGACCTCGAACGTAGGTTGTGCGAGGGGTAGCAGGGGGAAGAGTGGAGGAAGTGGATGCACAAGCGGCGCGGGGCATCTCAGAGGGGGGAGAGTCAGGTGGCGCTGCGGTCGTGCGAAGGGGGGAGGAGGAGCGGGGCACCCGGAAACGCTGAGACCATGGTAACGGGTTGTGGTCCCGTGGCCGTCGTAACCGGAATCTGGGCCGGTGCGCCCGTAGACTGAGGAAGGGCCTAACTCGTGGCGGCCGTCGAGCTAGGGGCGTGGACGGTCACCAAAATGGCCGGGCCGGTAGAGGAGGAAACTCCGCCGTGGCCACCCTGTCGGAGAACTGGGGACCCGGACTGAGAGCCAGGAGAAGAGAGAGGAGGAGGAGAGGAAGGAAGACCAGCGTCCTAGAGTTGCTGCACGCCGGCGGCAAGGGTCGCCACCTGCGCCTGTAAGGGCCCGAGGGTCGCGAGTTGCGCCTGGATGGACGCGAGGAGGGAGGTGAGGAGGGTGTGTAGATCCCCCTGGGGCTGATGGCCCTGGTCCACCGGCACGGGTGTGGAGCCCGATGTCGTGGTCATCGCCGTCGACGACGTGTGATGCACCGTCGGCCATAGGAAGATAACGGACCGGACTGGGGGGGGCCTGAAGAGGTCCGCGTGAGCTGAGGGCATAGGGGGAAGTCCGCGGTGGGAAGTGGCGAACGGCGCTAGCAAGGCTAGCACGGGCGCCGTCGAAGGGGGATGGGTGGTTCGGGTCCAGGGTGCCCGAAGAGGACGGGGAAGCTGGGGGGTTTTGAAGAACCCTAAATCCTACAAAAACCCTAAGAAAACCCTAACCAAAGTTTAAGTGGTTAGGGTAGGGTACCGGTGACCTAATCAAGAAAGTAAAATAGCAAGTATAGAGGGGAAGGCAGGAGGAAAATAAATAAACAGCGAGATTTCGAGAGAAAATAAAAATAAATAAATAAATAAATAAATAATAAAAATAATTAAAAAAATAAGTAAAAATGTGAAGGGAAACAATATTTATTTTTTTGAAATTTTCGGCAGCATTTCCCTACCCCCCACGGGGTTAAGAATGTGCTAAGGGAAAAGGAGAGGCCAAGGTGAGCACACTAGAGATGCCGCAAATAAATAAAAAAAGTAATTTCAGAAAATAAATAAATTAATAATAAATAATTAAATAAGTGAATAAGTGTGCGAGGAGGTGGGGAAAAATGGGTTATCTGATTTTTGAAAAATTTTGGCAGCATTTCGGTAACCCCATGGGGTCGAAGTGTGCCGAAAAGACTAAGTAAGAGAAAATCAGAAAATTTCGGCAGCACTTCGTTACCCCCACGGGGTGTGTGCCAAAAGCAAGAAAGGCTAACACCTAATCAAATTTAGGGTTGCCGCCAAGAATTTTTAGAATAAATAAAAATAAATAAAATCAATCAGAAAATAAGAAAAAAGGGTGGGGAAGAAGATGAGAAAACTAACAACTAATCAGATTTAGGGTTGCCGTAGAGAAAATCGAATTTTCAGAATAAATAGAAAAAATAAATTAAATAAATCAGAAAATGAGAAAAGAAGGTGGGAAAGAAGATATTTCGAATTTTTTTTGGAAAGAGAGAAAAGATAAATCAAATGGAAGATAGAAAAAGAAAAACAGAAAAATTCGAAGTGGGGGGAAAGGGGAATTAAAAAGTGAAGGAGAAGAAAAGGAAATAGGTGGGAGAGAGAAAAAGATGAAGTGGGAGGTGGGGAGATGAGGTGGTGGTAGTTGGGGGAGAGGAGGGTTGGGGAAAGGTGGAGAGAGATCAAGAAGGAGGGAGAAAAGAAGGGAAGAAAAGGAGAGATGAAGAAAATAGAGTAAACGAATGGGTGGTGGGAGAAAGGTGGGGTGGGGAAGAAGAAAGGAGGAGAGAAAAGATGCAATAGAAGGTGGGGGGAGGAGAAGGGGTGCATAAGATGAGAGAGGAGAGGTAAAGAGATTGGGTTAGTAGAGGGAGAGGGGAGAAGGGAGTGATACCTGGCCCTTGGTGTCTCCAAGGGCACAAGGTATACCAAGACCAGGAGGGTCTTGGTCTTTGTTGCAGCAACCAGTTGGAGGAGAGAGTGGGCTGAGATCTTGATCAGCCCCCAGCAGCACTTTTGCAGATGTGTAGATGTAGGGTCTGCTGTGTGAGCAGGCCCTCTCCACTGTAGAGCAGCCCCCTAAGCAGGGGGGTCTTCAGTCCCACCACAGGC